CATAAAAGTCAACTGTTGAATGGAATGCATGCTTTTCTGTAGTAGTTGCATTTTTGACTTGATTCCATACATGTACTACAATATTGAAAACCAAACTTTTCTTGTTTGAAAAATGCACTAAAATATTGGTGTCACAGGAATTTTTTGATTATACTGGTATAGCATTAAATAGAACCTTTTCTTTAAAACCTACTTTAACATTGTATTTACACCTTGGTATATACATGTACATTTAAAGGCGTCCCATTTCATTCCATTCTACTAAAGGAAAAGTTTGAAATAGATAAAGATCATAGATAAATGAAACTAATGGATTTATTTGCCATAAAAGAAAAGCCAATTATGATGTAGTTTTTTAGCATTAAACTACGAAAATGAAACTGGCAAAATCGATGATAAAAATAGTTTTCAGTAATTATGTCTTGCTGTTTCTTATTTTTAAATTATACTTTACCCTATATAAACTAGAGCATGGAGGGAACATATATAATGTAAGATTGTAGGAAAAAAAACTCTAAATAAACACAAGAATCCATTCACCTTGATCATAGACAACATTTATTTTTTAGAAATTCTATTTTACAATAGATGAGGTAAACTAGATGAAATATGACTAAATACGTATTTGAACCACATGGCATTGGTCAAACTATTTGATAATTCATATAATGCAGGGTACAAAAACAAATAATGAATACTATTTAAAACATCAAAACGATATCACTTTTACAAAATGAAAACATTATCCATATAAGGACTAGTGGACTAAAAATGTTAGTGTCTACTGCTGAATTGGTTCTCAATTATCTTGTACAATGACAGCATGTTATATGTTCATTAGACACATGGAAAATACTATCTTAGCAAACCAAGCAGAGCACCATTATTACAGTTTCAATGAAAGGAAAAACAAATTGAAACCGAACTTTACAGCACACTGGATTTAATAGACTAACACTTAGTCAACGAAAAAACATGTCTTTAAAATAATAAAAATATTTTTTCGAAAGAACCTTTCCTCTTCTGCTGTTTTCATGTAGAATTGAGCAACCTAGACTTGGTTAGTTTTAACTAGACTTGCCTAGGCTTTTAGTAAAATAAAAAATATAAATTCCACAGTCATGGTGCAGGACTATGTATTTAATAGCAGTTAACACAAATGCGAAAGGGTATTGCTGCCATCATTTTAAGTTAAGCTGATGTTTTCAGTAATTGTATTCTTTTTGTATCGCATATATATCATTGATAGAAACTAGGTAACACATGTGCAACTGACCACTGACCTTGGCACAATTGGTTTAAAATATGGCGTCGACTCACGTTTAGATCTCATTGCCACTGTATTGAAAGCTCCTTTTGTAACAGATTGGAAACAGTTAGGGTTATTCATTCACACAGTCAGTAAGTTGATCAGTCACACTCTTAGTCATGGCATATTAACAAGCAACAGTTATTTGTAGAAATGGGTGAGCATGTAGGACAACTGTATGGGTGGCCATTCGGTCAGAAAATACAAAGTTGAAAAAAGGACAAAAGTACGCAATTAAGATAAAATATTACGAATAAAGAACTAAATGTTACTACTAAAAAGTCAAAGTACAAAACAGATGAGGGTTAAACATACATAGTTGTAATAAATGTCAAAAGTACGCAACATTAATAGTCAAATGTTACGAAAAGACGTCATAAGAAAAGAAAGAACAATGTGTACGAAAGAACGTCAGTGAGCACGAAAGGACGTTTTCAATAAAGAACGTCAGTGAGCACGAAAGGACGTTGACAATAAAGAACGCCAAATGGCGCTGCAATTTGTAAAACATTCCGAGTTTAATCGGCTTGTTCCGCCGTGTATATGATAACTGCATGCTGAGGTGCACAATGTATTACGTCATTCCTCGTGCACTCACCGTCTGACGTCACACATATATATATACGTGTGTAATCCAACATCTGCCTAACATTAGTACATGTATTTTGTAAACAACCTTCAAACGCACATTTTCATCAACTTACAAGTTGTCTTTGTCAAAAATAAAAATGTGGATGTAAACAAGCGAAATAAATATGGTTTGAAAACGAACGCTGGTGTCATAGATGAAAATCAATTTTCTTTATTTATGGCGAGCTATTTTTCCTAACGAATGTGTAAGTTATACATATGCATACAAATCCATTTGATGTATATATTTGTTGTTCAGATATTAGGCAGTATTTTGTTCGCACACAGTTTCCGAAAAGCTGTTAAAAATAAAACAAATTCTCGCACAACGATCACTTTTCAGATGAAAATCTGCGTAAAACTCGGCATCATGGCACCCTAGTGTTGCACCAAGCATGAACAGTTATTAGATCATTGTAGATGAATCCTAGATTAGCGTTAAGTGAGTGTTTTTTTAAGGTTGTATGCAAAATACATGTACTAATGTTAGGGAGATGTTGGATTACACAGTATACTGTATTTATGAAAGGCCCTTTACCGGTGACAAAACTTAAACGCAACATGTTTATACACAATGTGTTCATTATACATTATAAATACATGTATATATATGTGTGACTTCGGACGATGAGTGCACGAGGAATGACGTAATACATTATGCACCTCGGCATGCAGTTATCATATACACGGCGGAACAAGCCGATTAAACTCGGAATGTTTTACAAATTGCAGCACCATCTGGTGTTCTTTGTATGTTTAACCGGCGTCTGTTTGTTTTGTATTTTGACCTTTAGTAGTAACATTTAGTTCTTTATTCGTAATATTTGACCTTAATTGCGTACTTTTGTCCTTTCAATGTTTACTTGTTGATCATGAACTTCCAACCTCTAAATATAACTTGTACCACCTAATATTAATGATCAAAGCTGTCTTCCATATCTTAGATTTTAATATTTTCTATCAATCAGCATTATAAACAGAACGACAATCTATACTGTCATTTCATCTCTAGCACAGTGCTAAATCGCCATGACACACAGTGGATAAAAATATGCAATACTTGCAGACTAAATGTCAACAGTCTTACGCAATAACTGTACAGTTAGGAAAAGTAAATCTTTCGACCATTCTGATCAGATTTCTTTTTCAAAATTGGCTCTCTGATACAAAACAGTTACGTGTGTGCGACTTGGGTGCATAATCAAAATTCGCCGTCAATCGCTTGATGTTCCAACATGGCAGAAAAATGTCGGGAAACTCAGTAGCCACTTTCCTAATCTCACCATATTTTGCAATCCGTAGCACTGTATAAAATATGAATGACACGATGTTAAAGCTGAGATAATTTGGGTGATGATAATTATAATTTTGTTTTTGCACACTTAGTCTTTGACGTCTTAATTCACAGTTGAAAAGGGACATTTTTATGGAACCATATATTCCTTGGCAGTACAAATGGGGTGGGAAAAGTGAGGGACCATATATGGTCCAGTGGCACCAAGAGGGTTAATTCACCTGAAATTCTTTACACGGAAAACAATAAAAAAAAAATGCTCCCGGTTGCCAGTGCTAACTGCATGGTCGGGTCATTGATCACAATCATCACAGTTATTATTATTATTATCCATTGTTATATCTCTTTTAAGAATTTTGCATACCATGGGACGAAACAATACATTTCAATGTAGACCCTCAAATCATGTGACTGACACTGACCTCGAATACTGACTCGTCACATGATCAGTGTTGACCTGTCACATGATGAATATTGATTAGTCTGCTAGAAAACAAGATGGCATCTAGTATACTAACATTTTACGGTTCGCAGCTAAGTTACTGTAATGAAACAGAGGATGGCTTAAATGTTTCATAAACTTTAAAGTGAATTTCGGTATAACAAAACAAATGATTATGCTTGAAGAGGCCTATATGTGATAAGTAGGACCCTCTGACCAGACCCCTTCAGTGGTCTGACCACTGCAGAGGTCTGGTCCTCGGGTCCTTCTTTTCACATATTGACCTCATCATGAGTAATTATTCGCATATTATTGAACACTTTATGCATATATGTGAACTCAACATCTGAGGCTTGGAGCTGTTATCACTTCGAGCCATATCGGTTCATTTCTTACCACACAGTATCTTGTAGATAACAGAATGGGACAAGCATGCTAAATGGCATTATCACCACTCATAAGTGTCTGGAGACAGAAGTCATGGAACACCATGGCTATATGTAACATTTGTAAGTGTCTATCACCACTTTGTCCTGTTTATTTCTGTAACTGTTTAGGCATGACTAGGTAAATTTGCACTTAGTTTAACAATGTGGACGTAGCTCAATCTGTCGGCTTGTCGGGGTAACGATCTGATGTGAGTTCAAGTTCGACAAATTCTAGTCTTAATGAGTTGGATTAACGCTGCTATAAACAGTATTCCTGGAATGAATCAGTGATCATGTGGACAGTGGTCATGATAGATAGGTGAAATGACAGACACCCATAACTGCTCTTGATGCGCTGTAGGTACAATAAATATAATAGTGCATCCCTCTGGACGCAGTATATTCTTTTTCGGTATCCAATCTCAACATGTCATTTGTAAATACTGCACCCACATTCGTTGGTTGCATAAAACCCTGACACTCACTCATTCGCTCTTCAATAGTCAATGTCGCTTTTCAGATTATACTCAGAAATATTCTTGCAGTGGTTGTAAGGAAGGAATGTCTCCCTCTCATTGTTGGTGTGATCTTACAGAAAATCTAGGGTCTAAAAATAGTCTTGGTATTTTTCATTATTAAACTCAATGTAAAGAACACATGTCACATTACACCAAAGGATGAAAACACACTCTGAAAAAAATGACAATGCATGTATTTTTCCATTCACATTACCCGTAAGTCTAATAGTCTAAAATTATCGAGGAAATAACACATAGTAAGCCACTAATATTACGATTTTACAGGTGCTTCATTCTTTCAGAAATGTTTCATCCGTTGAAATTGACTAGAATAAGCTTCTTATTAGTAATTATAAATACTGCAAATGAAATGGATTACCTCTTATGTACTGGATAATCGCATAAAAGTACACTTCACAGCTGCACACGCATAGACGTTAAATATACAACTGTCAAACATTAACATGCGATGTCATTTCCCCTTGTAACTCTTCTTGCGTGTCAAGGTCACAGTTTGACATTATTCCAAGGTCATATTTTTATATCGTTGTTTCGTATGATTTACACTATAAGCGTTGTTTACAATTAGTGATAACTGATTTTATAATGCATAAATCATATTTAAACTGAGAAACAATGCACTAAATTTAGATGATAATAAATAAACTTATTTAGAGAAGTCCTAGCTCTGCATACCAAACGTCGAGACTCTCTGTCCTACGTCTACTGAAGTCGAATCATCGTTAGAACATCAGCATTTTGAACAAGAACTGGATATACTTAAGACAGGATGGTAAAAAATAAGACTTAACACTAATTGGCTTATTGTTTATTTAACAGACTGTCATTTCGTTCATTCCATACTCGCCCGTTCAGTTTTCGATCACAATGATGGCGAATTTATTTTAATGGTAACAGTAGAAGTAGATATAACAACCATTAATAATTGCATGATTAGTGTATATAATTATATTTTCATATTCCCATCACATACAAAGTAAAAATTATACATTCCATGTTTCTTTCAGGCTGAAAGGAAGGCTGTAAATAAGTACTACCCACCAGACTGGGACCCCTCAAAAGGTTCCATCAACCAATATGTTGGTCAGCACCCACTCAGAGAGCGTGCCCGCAAGCTGGGCCAGGGTATTTTGGTCATCAGGTAAAACCATTCTTTACAATAGAAGCTAATATTTTATGGATTAAAACTAATATTTTATATATTAGTATGTGTTTTCATATCACAAACAACCCGTGAGGATCCGGGGTAGAAAAGGTCTTCAACAACCCATGCTTGCCGTAAAAGGCGACTATGCTTCTCGTAAAGGACAACTAACGGGATCAGGTGGTCAGGCTCGCTGACTTGGTGGATGCATGTCATCGGTCCCAATTGCGTGGATCGATGCTCATGATATCAATCACTGGATTGTCTGGATTGTCTGGTCCAGACTCTATTATTTACAGACCGCCATCATATAGCTAGAATATTGCTGAGTGCGGCGTAAAACAACAAACCAACCAACCATATCACAAATGTTTATTATTATTATGACCAGAAACCATAAAATAAAAGGAAGTCCCTCCTAAAAATAGTATCCTAAACCATCAGTGCTACGGTCTGTCATGTAACTGATACACTCTGACACCCAGCTGTTAACCTCCTGGTACTGCTGCAGATGCGCAATAGATGCGCAGACATTCGCGGTAACCACTATAATATCCGGGGCTAGAATTAATTCCCTTAGCTGACTTTTCTCCGATTATGACTAGCAACAATCCAATAAAAGGTGGTTCTTTGTGGATTACAATGACTTTTTATCTTATCTCTCAAATGCACATGTCAGTTGTCTGCAAATGATTTGTGTGTCTTCTGCGAAAAACGTGTCCTTATAAGCCCAGGACGTTTATTTCAATTTACAATTAGCACACCCATGGATGACTTCATTCACTGGGACGATTTCGTCTTTTACCTCGATATTTTTCTTAGAGAAATCCTACCAGAGGTCAGAAGAGAATGACAGTGATGTTACCACTACCAAGCCATCAGTAATGTCTCTCAAAAAGTTTCAATCAAAGAAAAAGATAGGAAAAGAAAATACAATGGCTGTCTACTAGTGTATGTACTCAAGGGCATGTGAAGAAAAAGCATAACCGATCCGATAATTAAAGCATTAAATAATTTATTCTAATTTTATAAAATCAGTAAATATATCTTATTTTATGCTACAATTGTATAGCTATTATAAATAAACAAAGTTACAAAATCCGCTACAAACACCACAGCAAAATATGATCCAGTAAATTGCACAGAAACTGAGAAAGTGTAAATAAAACTCATGCAGACAGCAAGACAGTTGTAACAGTTCACCATATTCCTGATGTTCACAAAATATATCTCCAGATTATCTTCATATCATTTTATAAATCCAGGCTAGATATACTTGCAAGTATGCACAGCCTCTGGCTGGTGTAAATGCTTTACCATTCGCCAGAAAAAAATGATGCTATATAATCAAGGGATCTTGTCTTTATTTCATGTAAATTCACTACTATTTTATAATGCTAATAATTCCAATGAATTAAAATTTCACATTAAACTACAAGCACTGTTAAATTATATTTCGATGTAACCAAGAATGTGCTTTGCAAGTAATCAAATGTTATTATTTAATGCCAGTTTGGGGCTAGTGGTGATAATGTGATTTGCTGGGATGAGACAATTATTTTCATAGTGAGGCTACTCTGAAATTCTAAAGCAAAGAGGATGTATAGTTCATCATGCAAAGAATTACGTCTTTCAGGTATAACAGTATAGCTTCAACAAGCATGGTATCAGATATTTATATCGTAGCTTGTAGTAATGTTTGTAGTTTTCTAAATTGTTTTCTATTTATTTCTGATCCATCAAATACAAACTTTAAACTTTAACCTGGAATGAGGCATGCAACTATTACTATTGAAACAAAACAAAACAAAACATTGCAAACTCTGGTATATGTAGATGTATTTATTATAGAAAGGGACAATACACCATCTATATGTTTTATTGAATGGCACCGTCGGGTTGTCTTGAACTTCTCTTAGAGCAACCCTTCCAATGACTGCTGATATGAACCTTCTTTTTTCTTGGCATTTACGAAGTAAATGATAATTTCTTAATACAAATATTACATTTATCATCCAAAACTGGCTCCCACAGGAGATATCCTTGGGTGAGCTCAAGCGATATCTACACTGTAGATATCGCTGCAATGAAAAAGTTGGAAGAATGATGTTGGATGATAAATAAAATCTCACCCTCTGGTGAGATTCTCTATTTAACGCCGCTTTTAACAGTATTCCAGTTATATGGTGTGTCAGCTTAATGCGGGAGGAAAGCCTGAAGGTACATTTACCACTTCGGTGAAACCCACGAGCATGGGGATGGTGCTGACAAACCGAACCCACAATCATAGGTTTCTGGTGTGCCCAAGGGACACAACTCTGCACAGTGAATCGCAGCGCCTTAGAAGAATGGGCCACCTGTGCCCCCGCATTTTGTCTGTGATTATGGTCTGAATATATCTTTTGAAACAGTCTACAAAGTTTCAAATTTTTATTGATATCAGAATTTTTTTTGGTAAGATTCGTATTTATTTTTTACCATTGTTTTCGCCATCTCTTCATAAGTTATCACACCTATTATCTTTGATTCATTTAGGCTTCTATCACATAGAGCGCTGAAGAAACCTGCATATATTTTTATGATGATTATTGTTGTTATCTACTGTAGATTATGTTTTTATTAATCAGGGGTGGTCAGGTAGCCTAGTGGTTAAAGTGTTTGCTCGTCACGCCCAAGACCAAGGTTCGATTCCCAATATGGGTACAATATTTGAAGCCCATTTCTGGTGTCCCCCGCCATGCTGGAATATTGCTAAAAGCGGCATAACCCAGCAGCATAACCCAAGCGGCATAACACAAGCGATATCTCCTGTGGGAGCCAGTTTTGGATGATAAACCCAACTCACTCTCTCACTCACAGACAAAATGCATGTTATGTCATCAGCTATATGGTAATTTAACTATAAGTACATGACGTAAATATGGGTTTGCTCAAAAAATCATAAAAAAATAACCACAGATTGTACCTAAATAATTTTGGTACGAAGCAAAAGGGGAAATTGTGATGAATGTTAAAAAATATATTTCAGGAGCTATAATGTGAAAATAAGAGTCTGAAATCATCTGAAAATTAAGAGTTTTGGGGTAATTATTTCGGATTTCTGGAGTCAAAATTCAGAAATTTCTAAGTGACTGGAGACCCCTTCCGAATTGGTTATAAGTTGTGGCAGAATAGATTCCCTACTTCAAGGCTATGCAGTTGTGCTTGAAACCATGTCCTACGTAAAAACACACAACAAATGTTGTACCCTATTTCCTGACAATGTGACCTAGTAGCATAAAGGGGTCTTCACACTTATAGAGTGTTCTACCCACTCACGAGTACATGTCTTTCTGACACTATCATGCGACAATTTTATGATTAAAACATGCTTAGCACCACTTTCCTTGTGTATATCTCAAGGTTATTCTCCACTTCGGCTAGGGTATCTGCGCTCCAACCGTGGGATAAATGCATAGTGTGAGATAGGATTAGGGTAAAAATTTGGAAATTTTACATTAAATTGTATATTTATATACTAATCTTATTTCACATGTTATGTGCCCGCCAGACCATCCCCGCATCACAGTTACACTAACCTGTCATCTCTGAGAACGAGAATGATGTGGCATAGGGTGTCAGGTGATCAAACTGCAGGGGTCATGGTCACGTGATCATAAACCGTGCCCTATTTGTTAGGGTGGTAACTATGGTGATGCTAGGAGTGTTTGAACAAAATGGGTTTTAGAGGCTAGAAACTTTGTTTTACAACTTTTCCACACAAGGATCGAAAGAAGAAGGAAGAAATGCATATACAATTTAATGTAAAATTTTCAAGATCTGATGATAATTATCCTTTTGTAATTAACTTAAAGATGAACATCTACTGAAAATGAGATAAAATTCGGGCTAGTAGAAAAAATGTTTGGGATGCATGAGGTCTCAAGACAAACATAACAGTGAATTATATTAGAGTAAACCGTAATTGAATTTAGCATGTTTCATGCTGTGGTTTATTTGCTGACCTGTGTTTTATCCAGATTCGAGATGCCCTACAACATCTGGTGTGGTGGGTGCAACAGTCACATCGGTATGGGCGTTCGCTACAATGCCGAGAAAAGTAAAACCGGCAACTACTACTCCACACCAATCTACAAGTTCCGAATGAAATGCCATCTGTGCGACAACTACTTTGAGATACAGACAGACCCAAAGGTATATTTGAAATTCTTTTTTACTAAAGTATTACCTTATAATTCTCCTCTGATGAGATTCCAGTACAAAATGCACCACAGTATACCAAGAGGCTACTAAAAAGAGGATCGGGTGGTCACAATGTCAGCAGAATATATGAGCAGTAGGTAGCAACATGGAGACCGACTGTTAGCTACTATTGGTAGCTCCAAAACTGTATCTTCCTACAGATCCGTCGTTACTATCTGACATCCATGAAGATCCGGGGTAGAATAGGTCTTCAGCAACCCATGCTTGCTGTAAAAGGCGACTGTGTGTTGTACAAGACTAACCGGATCAGGTAGTCTGGCTATTAATCGTAGCTGCAAAACCGTATCATTATACTGATGCTCCGTTGGTGTCCAACATCCTATATTAAGGTTCTATTAGAGTAAAATGCTGATTATTGCACCAACCTTCACAAGCTCAATAAGAGTGCATATTAAAGAACAATCTCATTAAAATCAGATATTAGTTTTTGCTACCGCTAAACAAAGATCTGAGGACATCCCATAACAGGTCACGTCAGAAGGATCTTTCGCGAACTTTGACAGACCATTGAAATGACTGAAAAGAAATCGACATTAGCCAATCAGAAGGCAGCTTTCTTGGGCTTTACGACACAAGTTTCAAACTGGCGACTACGCTTCGAAACATATTTTGACGTATTCTCGGTTAAAAAATTTAAAACTGATAAAATGAACATTCTCGAATGGTTTGTAGATGGCCTAGATTGTATGTTTATAATAAAAAAAACTGTAACTGTCGTTCGGATTACTCTCTGTTATATTTTTCGATGTTGCATGATTAGAAAACACATTCTGTCCGTCACTTTCATGATCTGGTAAGCGACGCTCTGATTGGTTGTATGAAAGGTCGTTCTGACGGGACCCGTAATGGGATGTCCTCAGATCTTTGTTTAGCGATAGCGAGAACTGAGATCTGATTTTAATGAGATTGATTAAAAAATATCATGGAATTGTTGAACAACCAAGTTAAAGAAACATTAATTAAGTACACCAAATATTTTGCTTGATAAAGTATTTTGTCCAAAGTTATGAACCTGTAAACACAATGAGGTCATGTTTCCTCTAAATATAGTAACAGTGACGGAAGCGATAAAGGTTTATAACGTTTGACAGAATATATTTTAAATCAGTAATGATGTGTTGTGTACGAAGACAATGACTGTAATTATGGTATTTTGGTTTAGTGTCCAGCTTCTGATTTTACGATATCAGTGAAATTAGAAATATTACATAGAAATAGGGTCAATAAGTATAGTATTTTTGTCCTTTTATGTAAAGATAAGTAAAATGACATTTCATCTTTTCCATCAACTAAACGGTCCACCTTGACTTTTTTTATACCTCGTTAATGATGACTGGCATTGTCTTGTAGATTTATCATACTCCTGACAAATGCTGATGTCATGATTATCGGTTTCTGCTTTGTTGCCAGAATCATGACTACGTCATCCTCAATGGAGCCAGGCGGAAGGAACAGAGATGGGACCCAAAAGAAAATGAACAGATTGTTCCAGAAGGTCAGCAAATTCGAAAGTTTGAGAGTTTTTTGGTACTTAGCATGGTGAGAGGGTCATATTATACACTGGGTGGAAAATTATTACACATTATGATTTAGATTGGCATATAAAAATTGAATTAGTCCCAAGATGAATATGTAAGCCTTATACAGTGAAATTACTTTGAGGCCTCATGAAGTATATGTGAAAGCAATAGTGTAGCAGGGTGTGGAGTCATCATGCAGATGACATTCTTTCTCTGTCAGCTTCCGACAAGGGGTGTTCTCTCCAGCCATGTGGACAAGGCATCTGACCATATATCAGAAGGACTGTGTTTTGAATCCCAGTGTCAGACATAGAAAATAAGATGAAATGGCTGTCTGCAAATAGACATGAGACTTTTTAATATTATTCATGGACAACATTTTTTGCTAGACAAGGCAACACAGAAGAAGCTGGCTACAGATGCTATGTACAAACTGGAGCATGGGTCTGACGACCATCAGAGAGGGAGATCAGTTCACCACAACCTGCACCACATTGAGGAGAGCCGCGAAGACTGGAAGGAAGACTACCTCCTCAACAAGGCCCTGCGAGAGAAGTTCAGAGTGAGTCGGGGAGAACTCTGTGTGCTGAATGTTGTTACTAGGGCTGGGACGAGTCCAAATTTACTACCCGGGTACCCACCCCGCTATTACCCGACCCTACCCGGGTACCCGCTACAGGTCGCAAGAGTTTGGTACAAAATGTCCGATTGGAAATAGATTGAGCGTAGCTCTGGTAAAATGTATTTAAATATATGTAAAAAAAATCTGATCATGCATACACTGAAGTTGACTGAAGTGTTATTTTTATTTAAACCTATAAAGGTCAGAAGCAATGGTGCTTAGTCAGAAAGAAATGCGAACATTAGTGACTCCTTCTGTAACCATAGAGTTCTAGATATTTTTAATCATTAAACAATATATCACATGACTAACCACGGGTCCGGGTAGTCCTATGGGTACCCCGGTCCTACTCAGTACCAACCCGAGTACCCGAGTTACCCGTCCCAGCCCTAGTTGTTACTACTGCCCTCATCCAGTTGTCACCACAGTTTGGTGGCAAATAGTGTACAACCCGTGGGGATTCTATGTTAGAATTGATCCCCAGCAACCTATGCTGGTCATGAGAGGCGACCAAATGGATGGGGTGGTCAGACTTGGTGACTTGGTTGATAGTGTTTCCTCGTACCGGGACAGCGTGGATCGTTGCTCACAATGTCCATCACTGGAGTACCTGGTCCAAACTTAATTATTTACAGGCTGCTGTAATTTAGCTGAAACATTGCTGAGTGCAGTGTTCAACAACAAAGAATGATGTTTCCTGATAAGTCTGTGACATCAGCCACTAGTCCTTGCCTAGTAAAATATTGTTTGGTTTAGAACACTCAGATGAAAATAGTCCATTGTTTATACTAAAATCTAAAGGAAACAGAGCCAAGTGACAATTTCAGATCAGTAGATTCCAAGATTTTTGGCACAAACAGCGCAAAGCATTTACATTTATCATTACCCTCTGATGAAACGACAAAATGCAAAAGAAGTTTATTTATTATTGTGAAATTCACGCAACCCCATCCCAAATAAATTACCGGTCCCTAAACCAGGTAATTCTCCTAAAAACTCCTAGCATAAGACATCCTGTAATTTTGCTGTGTAAAGTTGCATCTAAATTGACATGCCAGAACCCTTATTCATAGGTTCAAATCTCTGATCATGATTCTTCATTTGTCAGAACCAAGCCCTTACTTGTTGGTTTCACCAAAATGTTAAACATCCAAGAACTGAATCACTTAGGGCACAATGTGGATAGGACATAAGCTATCAGTTTGACTGCACATACACAAACAACACAAACTTGAACCTAATATTTGTTGTTTAATTTTTTTTGGTCAGTGGGTATATTAAGTTTTAAATTCTCAACTTCAGGATTGTGTCTGTGTGTGGTGTAGAATTGGAAGTCAGATCAGTCAAGGAAGGCAGTTGATACTGATATATTTATCTGTATTTAAACACCATAATTTTAATCCATAATCCAACCAATTATTCAAATAATCTGTGGAGCATATTGTTTTGGGTAAACGACAACAACACCCATGTGGAATGCTGGTTGACTGATGACAGTTAATTCGCACTTTGTGCAACGACTTATGGGTAGCACGTTAAATGGTTGCATGACCACTTTTTTTTACGAGATTTGTAGATAGACAGCAATGTAAGTGCAGTTGGGGCAGTGACTCAAAGTCTTTCATATGTACACAGAACAGCTTAATTTGTGGCCAATTTAGCCAAATATTGCAATAAAAAATACATATAACCATGTTCATGGGTTTTACCAAAGTGGCAAATGTCACTTTTCTCCCATATCAAGGTGTTGTTCAAAGTGTCATTAAACTCACTCACTCACTCTCACTCAACCATCCACGCACCACAGCCCATCTGTGTCTTGTCTAACCTGATTTAATCTGTTCATGCACAGGAAGAGAAGAAGGCAATCAAGGCCAGTGAGTCCAGTGACCGGTCACTACTGGACAAGTCGTCACTGGACATAAAGCTGCTGGACGAAGAAGACCAGGACAGGAAAATGGCCGGACTCATCAAGTACTCAGTCACAGAGTGTAGGTTCTCACTAGCTTAGAAATCTTCAACTTCTCAACTTGAATTCTGGTCCTCTGGCATGTAGCCAGCAGAAATAGCATAAAACCCTCTATTATTTGAACACAATGGACCAGTCAGTTGGTCAGTAGCCCATGAACATGCATACTCGTTTTTGAGGTGGTATTTATTTATTTGTTAATAATTTTACATTTTCTAACATTCTGTTGATAAGTAACAGCACCAGGGAGGTTTGTGTATAAAGCCCTGTTGGGTCTGTTTTAGGATGTTTAGAGAGTAAGGTGTTTTTTTTACACAAATTCGTCTTTTTTGACTGTAGATTATTGTTGTAGTAAGTGTGTTGATATTAGGGAGAAACTAGCGAAATCTAGTACAGAAATCGTCTTGGCCTAATTTGGTCTAGTATTTCTGAAATATATTAAAAATTGTGTAATTAAATGGATAATGTTTTCGATCTGATACACAAATCCGATAAATTTGTTATTACGGTCCAATAAATATGGTTACCAATATCAGATCGTCTTGACTAGGCGTCGCCATTTTGTTTGAAGCGATTGCAAGTGATATGAGAGGTGGAATGTGATTGGTCAATAGGAGGGACACAGAAGGGACATAACTCAGAATAGTCACTGGTGGCGCCATGATTGAGCCTGGAAATTCCAGCCTAGTTCGACAAGGGTAGAAACTGGACTTTTATTGTCAGTTAGCACCCTTGCCTTGGGATAATGATTTAGTCTTGGCTTTGCTGACAATACAGGAAAGTTTTTTAGAAAATATATCATAATGGACACGATCAGTCTGCAGTAATCAAACTAGGTGTTCAAATCACAGGTGGTGGCCTTATGGTTAAAGTATTTGCTCACCACAACAAAGGCCCAGGTTTGATTTCCCACATGGGCACAATGTGTGAAGCCCATTTCTGGCGTCCTATCCTGTGTGATATTGTTGGAATATTGCTAAAAGCAGCGAAAATCATACTCGCTCCAAACAACAAAGCTCCGATTGCCAAAGATTGCAGAAAGGAGTCTATACTTGAACCCAAACATCATGGAGACATATGGACTTGTGACAGTGCATTATCCGAATAGATAGAACAGTTGCAATAAGAATAGGTTCTGGACAGTACTTCAACTGTCACTTGTCCTCAATCTGTTATTATATGTTGGTGAACCAAGATATGTGTACTGGTGTTTGACATGAACATACTGTCCTTGTACCGAACAAATGTTTTGTGATTTTTACTTAGTTTCATTTCTATTTCAGCTTATGATGAAAAACAGAAACAGAAGAGAAAAGCAATTGAAAGTCGTCCCATATTTGAATCAAGTAACAAAATGCTCAAAGCCAACACATCTCCAAACATGCCGAAGGCGAGTCGATCAGCAGAGATTACGAAGAAACTTGGTATTTCTCCGCTTGGAGGCAGCAAAAATCCATTTGATTCTCCATCCATAGTCAAGTCGTCGAAGGCACTTGCTTTGGGCATTAGGAAAAAATCAGTAGAAACACCTGAAACATTCCCTTCTAGTAACAATGGAAGTACAATATCGCCTGTGATACTATACAGTGACACTGAGAGTGCTAGCTCGGAATCCTCTTGCCCAGAGTCAGAACAGACTTCAGCTGATACCGCGGAGGAAAATGTGATATCCTTACCAAACTGTAAAAACATGGAACAGCATACCAGCATTCCAAAAGATTCAGAATGTGATAATAAAATGTCTGCTGGAACAGCTCAAAATGCACTGGGTGCTCTCATTTCTAATTACAGTGACAGTGAAGAAGAAAGTTAGAAACAGTTTATTTGAAAATAAATAATTATATTGAATGGTGGTTTCCTATTCTGCGAGTTTGAAATGCTGGTTTTGGTTTTACAACATAGTATTGTTTGTTTGTTTGTTTGTTGTTGAACGCCACACACAGCAATATTCCAGCTTTATGACGGCGGTCTGAAAATAATCAAGTCTGGGCCAGACAATCCAGTGATTGACATCATGAGCATTGATCCACGCAATTGAGATCGATGACATGCATCAACCAAGTCAGCAAGCCTGACCACCCGATCCCGTTAAGTCACCTCTTACGACAAGCATCATGAGCATAGTCGCCTTTTACTGCAAGTATGAGTTGCTGAAGATCTATTCTAACCCGGATCTTCACGGGTCTACAACATATTAAACAGTCTGGGATCAAGCTTTATATACTGTAAACATGGTAAATTAGCTAAATCCACATTTGGTTGGCAGTTGCCGGTGAGAAACTACTACGAGATGTAATGATACACTTTGTTGTGATACATTTGTTGTTGTTTAATGCTGCACTCAGCAATATACCAGCTATATACAGCAGTCTATAAATAACTGAGTCTGGACCAGACAATCCAGTGATTGACATCATGAGCATCGATGTACACAATTGGGCCACGATGACATGCATAAACCATGTCAGCGAGCCTGACCACCCTATCCTGTTAGTCGCCTCTTGTGACAAGCATAGTCACGGTTTATGGCACAGTGTTGCTAAAGACCTCTTTAAACCCGGTGTTGCGATACCAAACATGTCAACAGTAAGGTCGTCATATGATGTACATTAATACTGGTTACGAAGGGAAACATGTTTATCACCAAAGAAAATGAACCACCAATTAATAAAACAGAGTTTTTTTACCTCTTATACACGGGCAAGAATATTGGTCCCCAGTAATCTTATAAGGGGCGGACTAAATGGATAAGTATCAGGCTCAGTGACATGGTTGATTACATGAAACCCAATTCCGTGGATTGATGCTCATGTCAATCACAAGATTGTCTAATGCAGGCTTGATTATTTCAGGCCAGTCATTTAGTTATAGCTTTGCTGAGTGTGTGAGTTAATCGACAAACATGCATATCAATGGAAAATATATTCTGCCAAAAAGAGAAATGCAAAAGCAGTCAAATCGTTAATATCTGACAGTGTTACCGACATCCATACAAAGTTATTACCAAAAATGAATCGGTCATTTCTGCCGACTGCAAACAGGAGGAACATCTTCAGCTGTAGCCAAGTTCTTCTAGTACCACCAAGCACCATGACAAGACTGTGGAACCATTATGACACACGGGACCTTCTTTGATCTGGTCAACCACATATCACTACTAGAGCACAGGAAAGATTCATATGTCTGCGCCACTTACGTGAAAGAAGCACCACAGCAACCTCTACAACTAAGACAATACCGGGATTGAGTGGGATATCAGCCCAGACAGTGAGGAACCGTTAGGTATTCGTGTAAGACAACGAGTTTGAGGTGTCATTTTGACAGACCTGCATCATCGGCTTCGACACTGTTTGTTTGTTTGTTGATTAATGCCACACTCATCAATATTCCAGCTATATGACGGCTGTCTGTTAATAAACAAGTCTGGACCAGAGAATCCAAAGATTGATCTCATGAGCATCAATCTTTGCAATTGGGATATGATGACATGCATCAACCAAGTCAGCAAGCATGACCACCCAATCCTGTCGACGCTTATGGTGCCATGGTCAAAGAGTATGTCCACGACTGCAATGGAGAATGATTGATTTAGTGGCGAGTCACGTTTAATGCTTTGGCATGCAGATGGTAGATGTTGTGTTTACAGGCGTCACAGGGAATGTTATGCACAAAACTGCACACAGGAAGTGTTCAGATTTGGTGGTGGTAGTGTGATGAGGTGGGCAACCATGTCCAACACTGGTACAACATACTTGGTGCAAGTTCTGGGGAATTTTACGACACAATGTTACATGGATGAGATTCTTTGGCCACACATCCTTCCCATTATGCAACAAGCGAGCGTCATTTTCCAACAAGACAATGCCTGACCTCATACGACAAGACTGACAGAAGCCTTTTTCAGAAATCACAACACCCAGGTCCTGACATGGCATTCCAGGTCTCCATTTTAAACTCATAGAACCTCTGATAGTTGGCACAAGCACTGCAGGCAAAGTAGGTGAAAATTTCCCAGACCACAATTCGGATCTGATTGCTTCTGTGGCAGTCAGTTTTAGACTCAAATGGTGGCCATACAAGATACTGAGAATACATGACCTTCACCTTGAAAATCGACTGTTCCAAGCGTCCCATTTGGATCCTGGGTCTGACAATGTGTGCCACTTTTGAACAATTAATTACTAACTGTTGATTATTTATAGGATATACAATATACACATCTAAAAATCAACTTTGTGTCTCTTTTTTTTTTGAAGAGCATATAATTTTTTATGGCCCATAGGTTTAGAACTAGGTGAGGTGAAATTGGGTTTAACGTCGCGTCCAAGATTATTGCACTTATATAGCGACGTGCATGCACGTGTGTGCGCTTGTACTAGTCCGGACTGATGCCATTTTTATAGTGCTAGCTCACTGAGATACCATGCCGCAGTTTAACATGAATACCCCACTCAGACACAGTATACTGACTCCGAGCCGACCAGTCCTTGTTTTAGCCCCTTAATGTTGAGCGCCAGACAGGGTAACAACAAGGTTTAGGACTAACAGTCCATAAAAATTGTATGTGCACCAGTGTATTGTTTATGTCACCAAGACAGCATTGTCTTTCAAATCGTATTGTAAAGTAAGGTCACACTAAAAACAATGTCATAGCTAAAAATTGATGATGCCATTCAACGATCAGGGGAAGTGGGAGGGTGGTGGCATGGGTGACCCAGTCGTTTAAGGCACCGTGCCATATACCTGGGTTCAAATACCTGTTTGTCACGATTGGTTCCAGGTTTGTCAGCACCACACCTGTGCCCGTCGATTCCACCAAAATGGTAAACATAAAGACCTGCTTCACTTCAGGCTTTCCTCCCACAATGCATGATATAACTAATACTTTTCAAAGCCACTTTGAACCAAATTCTGTGAGTCTGATCAGTTTAATTTTCTTAAAGTGAGCTGGAAAGCATAGAGAACCAATAGGTAATATAATTATTACCTGCATGTGGATTACCTTCCTTGTCCATATGCTTACAAATCCTCATGTTTTGAACAGAAACAATACATATCTTGTTTGGCCTCCATATGCAAGTGTAGGTACATGTTTTGTCTTTCCCTTTGAATCCTAAACATCTTTGTACTTTACCATCATCAAAAGGCAAAATTAATGAATATTTAACAAGGGCCCCCATGTGCATTCCCCATTAGAATGTCCCCAGTGACTCCACTTTTGAGCGGACTTGTGGTTAGAGCAACCTGGCTGTATTTTGTACCCTGATGGCCTAGAATGTTGCTCATGCTCAGTTTGTGCTTATTTGACACTGCTCATGCTCTGATGTACTTAAACTTTCGCTCTTGATTCTAGGTCAGTGTAATGCCTCTCACAAGGAACCCTATTAGTAGACGTCACACAGAAATAATTCAGTGCATAAAAAATCTAAAAATTGGTATAAACATATCTGATACTTCATGGCTAAAGGAGCATGGGTTGCCATGTCCCATGGTCTGAGACTTCCTACCAAAGTAAACATGGTAAAATTAGCATATCCTTATCTTAAAAGGAGATATCAATAATAACTGCTCAGACTGGTAACCAATAAAAATGGCTAACCAAGACAATCTTAAGTACCTTGATCCTCTGAGCAGTGTGCTATCCAGACTGCATAGCACATACACATTCTAGATTTTGTGCAGCAGTCCTACACAAATGTTAAGGCAACATAAAACTATGTGCAGTTTTGAACACCAAACATGACAATGCTGTGTATTTAGTATTGTTTATTTTTCTGTCTGACTCTCACATCTTGATTATTTAATATCACAACATTCGACTCTCACTTGATTTGAAAACCATGGAAATAAATGAGTCTGGGCCTTGACAACCTAGCAAAAAACACTCTCACTATGTAACAATGCAAATTTTGGATTTTGCACAAAGGCAAAATGTGTGAAAACTGAACTAATGTGAGATTCATGGATGATCACATCAGGAACAAACAATCTTATAAATAGTTTCAAGCTTTACTCTTCCTGAGCAGATATCCCTTTGTTAGGATAATGTCCTAAATGTAACAATCAGAAATGATTAACTAAACTGTTTGGCCTAGAAACCACCAACATTAGGCATTCCCAACTCGCCACTTGATGTACAGCTCTTGGAACTTGTCAAAGCCAGCCAATACACCAGCACCAGCAACACCTCGGAGAATGTTGGCACCAGCTCCCTTCATCATGGACATGAAGCCCTCATTCTTGATGATCTGGACTGCGCAGTCCATGGATCCCTTGTACTTGACTGCCTGGCCAGAGGTCATCATCATACGCCTTCTGATTGTATCAATGGGGTAGGACAGCAATCCAGCGCTGATGGTTACAGTGTAGCCCAAGGCAAAGGACAGCAACAAGCTGTTGCTGTCACCGAGAAGAATAGGCTTGAGGGTGTCGTAGAAGCCAAAGTAGCATCCTCTGTATACAATGATGCCCACGCAGGAGATGACGAAACCTCTGTACAGTCCGACAAAGCCATCTGACTTCAGGGTCTTCTTGTACACATCTACAAGGCCATTGAACTGCCGTTCACCACCGCCCTTTCCAGCTGACTTGGCATCATTAGCCAATCGGGTACGAGCATAGTCCAATGAGTAGACAAAGCATAGGGACATAGCTCCAGCTACACCACCAGAGGCAATATTTTTTGCGAATTTCATTGCCTGGGGATCACTCTTGCTTGCCTTAAACATTATCTTGATTTGATCTTTGAAAGCGAAGTTGAGAGCTTGGGTGGGGAAATACCTGATGCAGTTGGCCAAATTTCCTCTCCAGAATGGCAGGACACCTTCTGTTCTGAATGTACGAAGTGT